TAAATTCGATACAGTTGCGCCATGGACTGATACCAAAGACGACAAAGGCAACAGCAATATCTCCACGTAAACACTGCGTTTGTCCACTTGACCAGACACAACGTCCCATCCAAAGTCCAGCGTATCGCTCAATACATTCAGCATCAACTGCTGCTCCAACGGCGCCACGCACTTGTCCACCAGGAAATACGTAGCCGACGTGAGGAATATTGAGCTCCAAAATGCTTCAGGCACACATCGAGCCAGCTGTCCGAGTGATTGCAACAGGAACACGACGCCTGCATCTCTTTCGATCAAAATCTGCACCGATTCCAGCACGAATCGCGCCGTCCTCATGGCCAGTGCCACCTGCTCCTTCGTCTGAGTGGGGAAGGAGCTCAGCAGATCAACAACCAACGCCACGTGGGACGCATAGGTCGGTTGGGGGAGCTGCGAGTGCGGCACGAGCTCCAGTGCCTCCACTAGGATGCAGACCATAGTCGTCCGCAAAGATATATCGTTGTCAAAGTGCCAGGCGATGGAGGCGACAGTGTTTAAAACTGCAGCTTTGCGTCCTTCTGTCTGCATTGTGTCCATGAGGACAGTTTTGAAGACGGGAGATACGATTTCTAGTGTCCTGTGAACTTTCTCAGTGTCCACATTGACGTTGAAAATGGGTCCATCAGCAGACGTGAGAGCCGCTAAATAGCCTGATAATACGCCATCGTTGGCGTTTACAACCTTGAATAGCACGCTGCGCAGGGTGGACACGTCTAGTGTTTCCAGACGACGGACGCTCTCCTGGAAGAGAACGAATCCTAGGAACTCGGTCTTGCTGGCTGGCTCAGTGCAGATAGCACTAGCTTGTTGCAGTTTTTCATACAGAGTTGCGGTCAGTCCAGCAGAGTGATGGTCTTTTGCGCATTGTTGCAGTGCTGTGGGAATATAATCGAAGAATACACTGTCAGCCGAGGAAAGATATAATACTTCGTTGAGAATTGTCACGTTGCCCGCACCAAATACGAGGTTTTGCGTCTCAGCCAGCGACGAGGTGGTGATGAGACGATCGACAGCCTGCTCCATCGCGCTCGTAGCGGTGGGGGCGCTCGACACTTGCCGCAGCGCTTTCAGCAGCACCGCCAGTGTAGGCGTATTGCCTGCCATGCTCGTGGGCCAATGTATGTCCGCTTTGCGTGGTGCACATGATTATCACGAGCGTTTTTTTTTTTTTTTGGCTAAAAATCGATAGTTGAAGCTGTGACCATCACTCTTCGTATTCGTAAGTGTTGTGCTTGGTCAATTGATACACGTAATAGGACGTGCAGTAGTATTAATAAGTGCATTACGTGTTCTTCTCTCTAACAACCAGTTTTCTACCGATGCAGGATACGAGAAAGAAACCCGCGCCTGGTACCTCCTGAGTTGCTGGGGCTGTTAGTAGGCGTGATGAGGACCGGCTCATCCACATCCTGCTGGCTCGCGAAGGCGTTGAAGATCTGTTCCAATGTGGTCTGCGAGACGCTGTACTCGCGAATGGACAAGCGAGATTTGGCGTTCTCCACCAGCTCAAACACATTCGACAGACGCAGGCTATTGGCGTCGTCTGCTGGCTGGTCGTGGATCTTGAACCAGCACGAATCGTGCTGACGCTCCAGCAGCTCAACCGACCTGAAGTTCTCCTGTAAGAACGCCAACACATTCTCGAACTTCGTCTCAGTGATCCACCACGCCGCGAAGCTATTGGCAGAGACGTATCCATCACGCTTGATAAGGTTAGCGATCGCGTGTCCAGTCGGGTGCGTGTTGACGATCTTCTGTGTCCATGCCGCGTTACCGAACAACTGACAAGTCTCTGTGAGATCTCCCTCTTCGATGCGAGTGTCGACCGAGTCAAAGTGACGCAGGACAAGTTCAGAGACGTCCTCTGCAGATGGAGTCTGCAACTTCGCGTCGAACATGAGTCCGTCACCGAACCGATTCTTCAAATGCTGCACACTGCCGAGACACTTGAGCTCCCCACCGACCATAATGCCGACACGAGTGCACAGCGCCTCGCACTCCTCCATACTATGCGTGGTCAGCACCACCGTCGACTCCTTATTGTACGTCGAGATCTCGGAGATGACATCCCACATAAACCGTCTGGAGACAGGATCCATACCAGTGGATGGTTCATCAAGGAACAGGATCCTGGGTGACCCGATCATCGCGATAGCGACAGACAACTTGCGTTTGTT